GACAAGACAAACATGCACTCAAAATCACACACATCAGAACTTACAACATGGCTACAAGCAGGACCCTGACCTTTCTACAACAACATGACAGCTGCCATTCTCTCCGGTCCATCTCAAGTAGACGTTTTACCATTTGCCATTCTGCCTTTTATGTAACAGTCTATGCTTTCAAGGGTTTAGTTGACACAACTGTCCTCCAAGAGGCTCTAATAATACTCCCTGAAATAGTGTATTTGAAACCTCAGCTCACTTATCAATGCATTTGAAGACAACTCATCCTGAGCAATATAAGAACACTCTGAACATAGCCGAAGGTAGTTATTATTTTCCTCCTGAATTGCTCTGCAGTGCAAAAAAAAAAAAAAAAAAAAAAGAAATTTCATTCTATGGATGGAAAATAGCCAATGCAACATTTGAGCACCATACACAAAGCTATCTATATTTCATAATATCCTAATCCTTCTTAATTGCACAATCCCCACAACCACCCTGGTCAATGCCAAAAAATCCTTATAGTGGGTCTGTCCTATTTTTACTATGGTTCTCTAGCAGGAAAATCATGGTAAATGGTAAATGGACTGCCTTTATATAGCGCTTTCACAGACCCAATGGCCACCAAAGCGCTTTACATTTGGCCTCACATTCACCCATTCACTCACTCATTCATACACACATGAGTAATACTGAGGTAACTGACCCAAGACTGGATCTGCTACTTGAAGATTAACTGGACTGGAATCACAGGAAATCATTTCCGCTATGCTACCAGAGTGTTCAAGATATACTGTTCAAAAGTTTGGGTTCAGTACGTTTTTTTGTGACAGTTTTTTTTTTTACTTTATATGCTTCAAAGAATCCTGAAAATAAAGTATCCAAGTTGTTTTTTAGGTAGGAAGCAAAAACATGCTGTTTTTGTGTGTATATCTTTAAATGCAAATGAACTGCTGCTCCCCGCCCCCCTTTCCAAAAGAGGGCGGAGCCTTTACAACTTGGGCCTGGATACTCCAACGACAACAAAACAGGAAACAGCATGGGGTGCTTCTCCATTATTTTCTATGTAAACAAGCGCTAAACGGACCTTGCATTATTTACTCCCGTATGGTGCCATTCACAGCGCGTCTTTGCGTCTAAAAACGCAAACTTTTAACTTGAGTGCTGCGTTTTTTACAATGCCATTTCCTGCGAAAGACGCGAGTGCCAAGTTCCAGTGGTGGAGGAAGTGCTGAATCTCAGTACTTAAGTAAAAATACAAATAAACAGATAAATATTTACTTTAGTAAAAGTAGAAGTAACACAATGACAACCACACTTAAGTAAAAAGTACCTGATTTTAAACGTACTTTAAGTATTAAAAGTAAAAGTACTTGCATAACAATTTATTCTCTTAATGTCTATTTTTTTCTAATGATTAATAAAACATTTAATTCTAAATCGTTCCACCTAATACTCCTATAATGATGTTCAATAATTATGGAAAAAAATTTTTGTCACCATTTCTGAAACAAGCTTGCAATTAGGCAATAGGCACATCATGCTTTAGCCTGGCTGCGCCCGCCTACGCACTTCCGCTCAATTTCATTTTGCTTCAGTACTGCGTCTGGGACCGCTCCATATCCTTAGGTTTCCAGAAATCAATTTTTTGTAGGACCAATCAGCGAATAGAGGGAGTGGCTGAGAACGATGACGTTGATGTAGTGCGTCAGTTTGAGTGCAGTAATGGCAGCGGAGAAAGACGTGAGGAAAGCTATTCGGTCCGTTGTTGGAAAAGAAACTGCCGAATATACAGAATTTAAAGCCGGATTGTTGTCGTCTCACCTCTTGTTGCACAACGGAGGACCAAGTGAAGGAGGCAGAAAGGTTGGAAGTTTGTGCTGGGCAGCTCGTGCACAATGACCGTGACATTTTGGACTTTAGCCTGGTGTTCGCGGTGTTCGGAAGCCCCGAGTCCTGGCTGCTAAACTATTGTTGAAGATCCGCTCAGGAGTCATGTCAGTCGCTCAGATTCCCAACAGTAAATTTACTGATTCTTGTGATGAATAGAACATTTTGAGCCCCTTTGTGCACTTGTACAGGAGGTTGGTGTGTCAGTTTTACATGTTGTAAATCATACAAATTGGTTGTGATTTAAAAAAAAAAATTGTCATAAATAAAAATTTTAAAACCCATACTTTGGAGACTATATTTGATTTTCAGTTTTAGATGTCAATGGTTAATTTGTTTTAACCTGTTAACTGTCACCCCCCCTTTTTTGAATAGACATGAAAATGCACATTTCGAACTTAAATGGTTGTAATTCAAGAATGCTTTGGAATATAGACATATGATTGGTCTTGTTTTAAAGAAGACATTTGGCAGATTTTTGTAGAAGTGAAATAAATTAAGAAAGTGAAACAGAAAAAAAGTTATAGAAGTTTGAGTTTATGGAAATGTACAATGTAAAAATATTAATTATTCATATTTTACATAAAATATATGTTTTCAAAACCTGGGCTACTCTAAAATGGCAGAAAGATCAAAGCCAAAAATCTGAACAAGTTGTGTTTCAAATTTTAGGTTGATATCTCAAAAAATTAGCTTTCAGTAAGATTTTGTTTGAGCGCAGTACCAAACTTTTTCACTAGGGCACAATCAGACTCCATTTCTGCCCATATAAGGGCGCCTGCATTTCCATTCGTGTTTTGAGTGATATGAACCATTATTTTCACAATTTTCATACAATTTCTGAAGTAGAGATCCTATTCAGAAGTAGCATGGGAAGTTTGGCAGATTTTGATATGAATTGAACCTCTAAGAAACACATACAAAGAACACGCATGTAAGTCATAGCTAGCTGCCACGTCACAAATGGTGAATTTATTATTTTTTTCTTGATATTTCAAACTTTTCAGACCTTTTTTTTCCAAAATAATTGAATGGATTCTATCTTTTGAACTTTTGGCATGAAAACAAACTGAGGTATCTACCATTTTTTCATGATTTTTCATGTTTACTGCTATTTTAAAATAAAGGTCTGAACACGCCTTATGAGTATGAAAATATTCTTGTTTTATATTGATAAATTATGGCTCCTCTGTAATATATTTTGAAAATCAGTCACCAAATATGGAAACTAGAGATTGTAAGCTTTCAAATGATATATAGTTTGTCAATATTATTTAAGGTATTTACTAAGATATTATTGTTTTAAAAATATAGTGGCAAACGTCCCACCTGTGGGACGGTGACAGTTAAGTGGTTAATAAAAAAAAAACAACTAAATGCCATATAAAAATGTACAAACACATACTTTGAAGACCATAATTAAGGTAATTAAGAAACAAAAATACGTAATATGAAAAATTGTTGTTTATTACACATCTGCAGACAGACTGATCATTCACTGTAACTTACAGCATTGACTGAATAATCACTGTCCTTCATGTCAAATATACATTTCGAATTAATAATTGTTACTAGATTAACAAAACCTGCAGCTCTCGTTGACTGAAATCCTATTGTAAATTGAATCCTCTGATCATTCGGAGTTCGGACTTGTTGTTTCTTTTACTGTTGTTTCCAGCCGTTTCGGCGCATGACATACGTCACTCACGACCACACATTAGCGATTGGGTATGGCAGATCGTGAGTGACTCTGGGCAGATCCAATAGATTTGAACTTTAATAGTGAACCCGCCTACAAGGAAGGAAATGTTTCTCAATTGAGGGAGGCCAGACTCTCTGTACAAATGAAATGTATGTACGAGAGTCTGGTAGAACCAGGCTAATCATGCTTATCCTTACTATATATTAATAACTATGTTTGGCAGTAAACGCGATTAATTTATAGTGCAATTCTGAACCTCTTGGCTTGCCATAATCCCAACCAAACGTTTCCTATGCACATAAAAACTAATTTTCGCGTATAAATGGCACGATAAACGCACTGTGTGCGAGACGCATTTAGTTGATATATCTATGGCAGCCAAACGTCACTGGTGAGACAAACGTGCAACGAACGGTTGGTCAGATTACGTTTTGGCAGGGGAAAAACTGATCAGAAAATGTAACAGAAGTTGTAGAAATGTAGTGGAGTAGAAAGTATAATAATTGCTGCAAAATGTAACGAAGTAAAATTAAAAAGTATGCACAATTTATTCTACTTAAGTAAAGTAAAGATACGTGAAAAACGTACTTAAGTAAAGTAACAAAGTATTTGTACTTCTTTACATTCCACCACTGCCAAGGTCAAACACGTCCATCTAGCATGTTTCCATTGAAAAGTAATGGAAAAGTAAGGCAGTGAAATGGAAAAATGCATTCTGTTTGCATTAATACTATTTAGACTTTATCACGTAGCTGAAACATCTGCTTTAGTGAGGAGATAAACATGGCGGATCGGAGGAGGAGCTAAGCTAACAGGGCAGAT